AATCAAATCTCAAAATATTAACTTCACTAACTTTATGAGACTGACACACTGTTTTGTGAAGTGGTTGTACCATCTTAAATTTCCACCAGTAATGTATAAAAGTTCTGGTTGCTCTATATCTTGGTCAACACTGGGTATTACTGACAGTTTTAAGTTTCAGTCATTGCATTGGACATGTAGTGATAGCATGGTATGGCTTTAATTCACCTTTCCCTGATGAACAATGGGTTGATTATCTTTTCATGTATTTATCTCCCACCCTTGTACCTTATTTGGTAAACTATCTAAAATTTCTTCCAATTTGAAAAAAAAGGCATTACTTTCTTTTGATTAAAGTTCTAATAGCTGTTTATATATTCAACACAAATATATACATATTTTAATAGCTTCACTGAGATATAGCTCACATACCAGCTACCCACATAAAACGTATAATTGCAAGTATATTAAGAAGAGTTGTATGAGTTTCATCCCAGTCCAGTTTAGAATCCTTTCATCATTCCCCCCAGAGACTCATGTATATTCCAGTTACTCTCCATTCTCTCTTTATTCCTAGCCGTAGGTAAACGTCAGTCTATAGATTTGCCCATTTTGGACATTTCCTATAAATGCATCAAAGAATATAAAAATCTTTTGTGATTGGTTTCTTTCACTTAGCATATTTTTTTCAGGTTAATCTGTTATAGCATGTATCAGAATCTCATTCTTTTTAAGGATGAGTAATAGTGTATTATATAGATATACCACATTTTGTTTATTCAACTATTGGACTTTGGGGTAGTTTCCAATTTTTTGGCTATTATAAATACAAATAATGATTCTACGAACATTCATGTATTGGCTTTTTTTGTAGACATGTTTTAATTTTTCTTGGGTACATACATACATTTTTCAACTATTTTCTCCCACTCTGATTTTTTAAAAAATTTTCTTAATGGAATATTTTGAAGAGTAAAATTTTGAAATTTCTTTGAAATCCACTTTACCAGTTCTTCCATTTTATGATTCATGCTTTTTATGTCCCATCAAAGAAAGATTTGCCTAACCCAATGTCACAAAGAATTTGTTTTCTTATAAAAGTTTTATAATTTTAGCTCTCAAATTCAGGCTTATAATCCATTTTGAATCAACTTATATATAGGGTGTGAGGTAAGGATCAAGTTAATTTTCCTGCAAATGAATATCTACTATCAGTACCACTTTTTTTATTGATACAAATCAGTATCTGTATCTTTTTGTCATGTTGCATTGGGTGAGAGTTCCTGCACAATTTTTAACAAGTGTGAGAGTTGACATTCTGTCTTGTTCCTAACTTCAGGAGGGAAGTATTTAATCTTTCACACTGAAGACTATAGGATTTTTAAAGATGTCTATTATCACTTTGAGGAAATCCCCTTCTAAGTATCACTTTTTGTCCATCATCTCACCATTGCATTGGACTCGGCATTTTTGGTAGACATCCACTATGTATGTTTGGGTCTTTTCTCAACTCTTCATTTTGTTTTCTTGATCTATCCATTAGCTTTATAAAAATAACTCTAGAAACCAGATAGTGTAAGTCCTCCAACTGTTCTAAGATTGTTCTGCCTACTTGAAATCTTTTGCATTTTCATAGAAATGTAGAACCAACCTGTCAATATGTGGCTGGGATTTTGATTGGAATTGCATTGAGTCAATAAATTTGGGGAGGAACTGAGGGCGAGTCTTGTGATCCAAGAACTTGGAATGTCTCTCCATTTTCTTTTTCTCTTTTACTCAGTCTGTAGCTTTTATTTTTGTCATGTTGCATTGAGTGGGATCACCTGCACAATTTCTAACAGAAGTGTGAGAGTTGATATTCTGTCTTGTTCCTAACTTCAGGAGGGAAGTATTTAATCTTTCACATTGAAAGCTATAGGATTTTTTTTTTTTTTTTTTGACAGGCAGAGTGGACAGTGAGAGAGAGAGACAGAGAGAGAAAGGTCTTCCTTTTGCCGTTGGTTCACCCTCCAATGGCCGCCGCTGCAGCCGGCGCACCGCGCTGATCCTGGCAGGAGCCAGGAGCCAGGTGCTTTTCCTGGTCTCCCATGGGGTGCAGGGCCCAAGCACCTGGGCCATCCTCCACTGCACTCACTGGCCATAGCAGAGAGCTGGCCTGGAAGAGGGGCAACCGGGACAGAATCCGGCGCCCCAACCGGGACTAGAACCTGGTGTGCCGGCGCCGCAAGGTGGAGGATTAGCCTATTGAGCCACGGCGCCGGCTAAGCTATAGGATTTTTGAAGATGTCCTTTATCACGTTGAGGAAATTCCCTTCTAGTCTTAGATTGCCGAGAATTTTTATGACTTGGTGTTGAGATTTTCCAGTGCTTCATTTATATGGATTTATTTATTCTGTAAATATTGTAAATTACACTGATTTGTGAATATGCAATGAATCTTGCAATCCTTGTTTAAATCTCACATGATCTTCATGTATTTTCTTTGTGATAATGCTATTCAAATTTACTTCCCAGTATTTTGTTAAGAATTTTTGGATCCATGCTCATGAAAGACATTAGTGAGTTGTCTTTATTTTTTGTAATGTCACTTGCTGGTTTTGCTATCAGGTTAGTCCTAACTTCACAGATTGAGGTAGCAAGTGTTTTCTACTTATCTATGTTCTGGATGAGCTTCAAATGTTTGGTAGACACCACCAGTAAAGCCATCTGGACTGGGAATTTTTTTGGTGGTAATATTTTAAACTAGAATTTAATTTCTTTGATGTCAGACTATTCAGGTTATATACTGCTTTTTGGACGAGTTTTGGTCTTTTAAGAAATGTTATTTTCATCTAGGTCAAAACATATATGGGAATAATATTAATTCCATTATCCTTTTATTGAGTAGGATCTGTAAGAACGTCTCTTCATTCATTCTTGATATTGGCTTTTTGTGTTGCCTCTTTTTCCCTTCATCTATCAGAGAGATTCATTAATTTAATCTTTAAAAGTAAATTACAATTTAATTGATTTACTCTATTTTCTGTTTTCTCTGCTATATATCTATTCCTTACTGAGGCCTCCCTCTTTCTTGTTTTGGGTTTAACTTTATTTTTTTCCCTAGTTCCTGAAGGTGCAACCTTGGATGATTGAACCTTCTTTTCCCTAATACGGAGTTACTGTTATACACTGCCTTAACTGCATACTGAAGTTGTGATATTACATTTTCATTTACTTCATCATATCTTATAATTTCCTTTTACCATTCATAGACTAACGTGCTGCTCCTTTTCCAGTAATTTGGAGGGTTTTCCAGATGTATTTATTACTGATTTCTAGTGTAATTCTTTTGTAGTCAGAGAAAATACTTTGCAACCCTTAGACACGTGAGAGTTGTGCTATGGCCAATAACATAGCTTCTCTTCATGAATGTCTCACATGTTGTTAAAAGACAAGGAGTATTCTACTGAGCAGTTTTGTTCACTGGAGCAGAGGGGATTCCATTTTTTGGGGGGGAGGGGTGTGTTTCCAAAACAAAATTCACGTGTTTTGTGCTAATATTCTTGCCTTGTCTTTTAAGAGGTGAAACCTGTTCTAAGTTTACATTTTCCTGTCAGCTTTATCACTGTACTTAATAGTACCCTTCTCAAGGTTATTTTTGGGGCTGCAAACAGATCTGAAAAACCTCACGCCCTCACTGCCTTTTCTTTTCCATCATGCTATGAAATGTTTATCAGTCTTGGGAGACAAGTTTTCCATTCGTGAGGCTTGTGTGTGAACGCAGATATTGGAAGTCATTCTGCAATGAGATGTGATTTAGGCCAGTTAAGAGTACAGATGTAGGGATCAGATAGGCTTGTGGTGACATTATTCTATTTAGTATGTATGGGCACGTGGTCTTTACTTGTATTTCTAAGGCTTTTGTGAAAATTCTGGGAATTGTAGTGAAGCAGCTGTGCTTGACATGAATAACATGGTGCTGGTTTAATTAACGCCGTGTGATTTGAGGGAACACTGGGAAGAGTCTGTGGATCTTTTTGAAAACTTCTGATAAAGCCTGAATTCCTTTATGAGCCATTTGTCCATATATCGCAAGCATGTTCCTCTTTGAGCTTTATGTTGTGGTGATTACTGTGCGGTTTCCTCCTAAGAAGGGATTGCTTACTCCTGTCGCCTAATCCCAGGTGGTCATGTGTTTATCGGATCACCACTCAGTGAGAGGAAAGCAGGCAACGTGATGATCACAAGTGCATAGGAACACGGAGCCCTAGAAGGGGAGGTGGTTCTTGAGCGAGGAGGGTCCACCAGGATTGGTCCTTTTGGAGGCAGGCAGATCCGCAAGCCTTGAATGCCTGTGGTATGTACCATGAGGTGAGGCACCAGGAAGACACCTAGAAATAAACTCTCCACAAATCAGAACAGGAAGGCAACAAGAAGGATAATTTATTATTATTATCTCTATTGTGCCTAGTGTTTTATAAGACTCAGGTAAGAAAAATCATTAAATTACTGGGGGAAAAAAAAAAAGAGTAGTGAAAGCACAGCTGAGCTCCATAAACATGCAAATTGTAATGTCATTCTATACACATTGGTCATAGCAGCCAGGGCCAGGCATCTGCTAGGCAGCGGGGGTGTGAGAGCAACTACAATGGACATGGTCCCCATTTCCGGCGGGAAGGCACGTGGATGACAGTACGTGAGCTACCAGGAGCCAAGTGCAAAGAGCTGAGGGGGCAGAGGAAAGGCATTCAGACTCAGGCTTCCCTGGAGCGCCCTGAAGGAGGAGAAGCCATGGGATTCCAAGAGGGAGTGGGGTGAGGGTTCAGGAAGAACAACCCCTGAGGGGGCCTTTGGTTGTCAACTCTGACTTTTCCAGAAGCACACAGCCCTGAGAAAATCCATCATTTTGTAGTGAGTGTCTACATTCAGAGTTACCCATGACTCGGCCCAGGATGAACCAAGTGCAGGATGACAGTGCAATACCCCATTTCACAGAGCTTTCCACAGGAAAAGTTGATGATGATTCAAAGAATGACAGCAGGTCAGGCTTGTTGATGCATTTTATTGTGAGATGGGGGAAGTCCGGTAAAAAACTAGAAAATGACCATGGTGTGACAAGGAACTTAAAAATGAAGAGTCAGATTGTAGCTTACATACATGAATACAGGAACAAATTGGCACAAAATGTTAAACATTGTTCCCAACACTGTTTATATAAGGTAATCCTAATTTGGCTTACTAAGGAAATGAGAGTTTTATGGTTAGGCTAATCTCTTAATAAAACTGTAGAGCATCATGCTATTAGTCACACAGTGAATTTCAAAATTTAAGAGTTTTATATTAAAAACTGGGTAAAGGTAAAATGACTTGATTGTAGTTGTAAAACTAATACATTCCCATTTAAATTCTGTTCTACAGTCCAAGGCAAGTATAAATGTTAACATAACACTGTTAAATCAAATCTCAATGCAAGACAACCAATTGCATCTCTACTTTAAATCTTATCAACTTTCCAAATTTTCATACTAAAATATATTATTGTATTAATACAAACTACAGTATTATACACTACACTGTGTAATAAATAAAGAAATATAAAAATAAGACACATAAATATAAAAGTTTTCTAAAACTAAAAGTACATATGTCAGTAAGAAGGGTATTAATACTGCCAGGTTTGAAGACATACAGTACAAAAATGTTGCACGGATCTATAAACTAAAAGAAATAAAATAATACTGATAGGTAAAAACCAGCTAATGTTGTTAATAAACGGGGTCCATAATAACTAACATTTGGAAACAGTTATGAGCCAAATAGCAATGGCATGTCCATGTCTGAAATGCAAGCACATGGATAAAGCAGATTAGAAAATTTCCCTTTCATTTATATTCGAGAAACTGTGAAGTCAATTAACGCGAAATGAATACTGAGCAACTGAAAGGTGAAATGTCCCAGTGTTTCCGTTTCTCTGACAGGAGTCAGTGGTTTTCAGCTTTCCTTGGGAATTTTGATGCAACAAACAAATCAACAAATGCTAGTTATTGTAGGCCACACACTGAATGAAGGCGGGTGAGAGCCTGGGAAATACTGAGAAATGGCACTTACAGCACACAGGTCTTGCTTAAGGCCAAAGGAGATACAAAGCTTCATATCATATCCTTCATATTGGTTACCACGAACGCGAACACAATTACGAACACTGATTCTGACGACCCCGCTGTCCTCCCCAGCAGTAACACTGTAGTCCCTGCCATCGGAACGCCACGACGTCTCCTCAACTCCATCTGAACCCACACGAGTAAGAAACCTCCGTTCTACTGGCTGCTTTCTTAAGGCTAACGACACACTTCCCATGAGAATACGCTCCACTACGACACCTAAGGGTTCGAAATGGCTACCTTGCAGGCTGATCGAGCCAGGGTAGCCAGCACGGTTTGGAATCGCATTACACTTCTCCGTGAAGGGAATTCTGTAGTGCAGAAATTCTCACATTTTAAAAAACATAATAAAATACTGAAGCGGATTTAGCATATGTTTACCAATATAAAATTATAAAATTTCTCCCAATTGTACAGCGTAAGAATAAACCAACGTAAGTGATAATTAATACTGATCACATGAAACAATGCCGGATGCTTATCTAATTCATTCTTCAGCTTCCTCTCCCTGTCCCGTCTCCGCTTTCTGAGTCAGTCAAGTTTCCTAATCTGCTTCACGGTACAAACTTGTTCATAACTTGAGAAATGACTAGGTCTGAGGTTCAGGCACACCCGGATTTTTTTGTGTGTTTTTTGCTTTTTTGTTGTTTTTGTGTTTTTGTCGCTGTTTTTACTTTACACAGTAGTGAACAGGAAGCACAGTAGGCGCTCCCGCGCAAGCATGGGTACTGGAGAGCCCTCCGCACCACCGGCCGGCCTCCACTCGCGCCGGCGCGCTCAGGCCTCGTTGGCTCGCTCTCCGGACGCGCGCTCGCCGCCCTCGCTCACTTTCTGCTCCACGCTGCCCGCGGGCCCCGCGGCCCCGGCCTCCGCCCCCGCGCCTTCTTCCTCCTCCGCGGCCTCCTCCTCCTCGTCCCCGTCCTCGTCCCCGTCCCCCTGCGGCCTGCCACATCCCTTCCCGTCCTGCAGCTCCTCCAGCTCCCTGTCCTCCTCCTCGTCGTCGTCCTTGTCGCTCTCGTCGTCCTCCTCCCGCGTCAGGCTCTCCCGCTCGTCGGAGTCGCCCGCGCGCTCGCGCCGCACGGCTTCCGGCCCCGCCCCTTCCGGGCCCGCCTCTTCCGGCTCGGGCTCGGCGCCCCCGCGCTCCTCCGCCTCGCGCTTGCAGTAGGAGTAGCGGTGGTTCATGTGCTGCGAGTAGGAGCCCGAGTGCGAGAAGCGCTTTCCGCACTTGTCACATTGGTAGGGCTTTTCCCCCGAGTGCAGTCGCATGTGCTCGATCAGGTGGTGTTTGTGTTTGAACGCCTTCTTGCAGATCCCGCACTCGTGAGGTCGTTTCCCTGGAAGAGAGCACAGCGCTGGGTCACTGGTCAGCGCTCCCGTGGGGCAGGGGTGCAGCTCCCGTGGGACGGAGCCGGGGGTGGAGGCGTGGGGCTGGGGTGCGGCTCCCGTGGGACAGAGCCGGGGGTGGAGGCGTGGGGCAGGGGTACGGCTCCCGTGGGACGGAGCCGGGGGTGGAGGCGTGGGGCAGGGGTGCGGCTCCCGTGGGACGGAGCCGGGGTGGAGGTGTGGGGCAGGGGTGCAGCTCCCGTGGGACGTAGCAGGGGGTGGAGGCGTGGGGCTGGGGTGCAGCTCCCGTGGGACGGAGCCGGGGGTGGAGGCGTGGGGCTGGGGTGCGGCTCCCGTGGGACAGAGCCGGGGGTGGAGGCGTGGGGCAGGGGTACGGCTCCCGTGGGACGGAGCCGGGGGTGGAGGCGTGGGGCAGGGGTGCGGCTCCCGTGGGACGGAGCCGGGGTGGAGGTGTGGGGCAGGGGTGCAGCTCCCGTGGGACGTAGCAGGGGGTGGAGGCGTGGGGCAGGGGTGCAGCTCCCGTGGGACGGAGCCGGGGGTGGAGGCGTGGGGCAGGGGTGCGGCTCCCGTGGGACGGAGCCGGGGGTGGAGGCGTGGGGCAGGGGTGCGGCTCCCGTGGGACGGCTCCCGGGGCAGGGGTGCCGCGAGGCGGGGTGGACACCGCGTCCCCGCTCCTGGAGAGGTGGCGGCCCCCCGGGGGCCAGCGGGGACCGGGCTGCCTCATCGCCTGGCTGAGGCCGGGATCCCCAGTCTCAAGGTGTTCTGAGAAGCGTGCCGGGGTGCTCCGGGAATCGCCCGGTGTCGCTGAGGGCTGAGGGAGGGAAGAGTTCCGTACCTGTTCTAAGAGGTGCATGAGCATAGTTGCTAAGGATGTGAAAGGTGAGTGTGGCCAGCAGGAGCGGGAGGCGGGAGGAGGGACCGCCATAGCCCTGTGCCTGGGACAGCGACCCCGTCTCTCAGAGGGAGGCGGGAATGGAGGGACTGGATCGCCCTGTGCCTGGGACAGCGACCCCGTCTCTCAGTCTCTCAGAGGGAGGCGGGAGTGGAGGGACTGGATCGCCCTGTGCCTGGGACAGCGACCCCGTCTCTCAGAGGGAGGCGGGAGTGGAGGGACTCAATCACCCTGTGCCTGGGACAGCGACCCCGTCTCTCAGAGGGAGGCGGGAATGGAGGGACTGGATCGCCCTGTGTCTGGGACAGCGACCGTGTCTCTCACAGAGGGAGGCGGGAATGGAGGGACTGGATCGCCCTGTGCCTGGGACAGCGACCCCGTCTCTCTCAGAGGGAGGCGGGAGTGGAGGGACCGCCATAGCCCTGTGCCTGGGACAGCGACCCTGTCTCTCAGAGGGAGGCGGGAGTGGAGGGACCGCCATAGCCCTGTGCCTGGGACAGCGACCCCGTCTCTCAGAGGGAGGCGGGAGGAGGGACTGGATCGCCCTGTGCCTAGGACAGCGACCCCGTCTCTCAGAGGGAGACAGGAGTGGAGGGACTCGATCGCCCTGTGCCTGGGACAGCGACCCCGTCTCTCTCAGAGGGAGGCGGGAGTGGAGGGACTGGATCGCCCTGTGCCTGGGACAGCGACCCCGTCTCTCACAGAGGGAGGCGGGAGTGGAGGGACTGGATCGCCCTGTGCCTGGGACAGCGACCCTGTCTCTCAGAGGGAGGCGGGAGTGGAGGGACTCGATGGCCCTGTGCCTGGCTGGCGCGTCTGGGGCGCCTTCCTTTCTCAGATTCTGCACTGTCCGGAAGCCCGCGACTCCTGGAGCCTGGAGTCAGCCTGGCAGGCGTGTTCACGCCACAGCGAGTGTAAACACTTGTCGGGGCTCTCCTGCCCTCCCGGGGACCGCCGCCGAACTTCGCTAGCAGGCCGCAGGACGGAGGGAGTGGGGCCAGGAGTCGGCAAGTGTTTTCTGGAAGAGCCAGACGGTCAACACGTGCGGCTGTGCGTGCCAAGTGGGCTCCGTGACACACCGCGCTCTGCCCGTGAGGCCTGCGAGGGAAGCCGGCAGACACGGGGGACAGATGGGCGTGGCTCTGCGCCAACAGCGCCATTCACCGCATGCTGACACCCCGCCTTCCTGCGACTTCACGTCGTGAGTCTCCATCGCTTTCAGGGGCTATCAAACGCGAAGAAAACATTCTTAGCTCCTGTTGTCCATCTCTGAGTTATCCTAAAGAGTGTCTAGTCTGTGGAAGAATTGTGGAACCTCAGGGTTGGAAGGGGCCCTAGGATCTAGACAGAGGTTCTTCCTACACACAGTAGGCTTACCTGAACCCTTCTGATGCTGGGCACGCTGCACACTTAGGAAGCAGCGCTTTCTCTTATAGGGCCAGATCCTGTCTCACTGCGTTAGCCCGCTGATCTGTTTTCCACTAATGGGTACTGTATGCTTATTTATACAGCATGATCTTGCATGAAATCAGTGCGGACAGAATAAACACTGTGATGAGTTAAAGGGATACCAAGTCATTTAAAGACAGGAAAAAAAAAATAAAGGCACAGAACTTAAATACACCAGGTGGAAGCAGGTGGACAGCTAATGTGGCAAGATCAGAGAAGTGAAAAACAGAAAGACCATTAATTCAAAGAACATTAGCACTTTTTGACCTAGCACTTTTTCAGTACATCATAGCACAGGCACTTTTAGAAAGGCCAATATGTGTGTGTTCGCTGACATACCTGTGTGTTCATATTTGTGTCTCAATAATGAGCTACTCTTCTGGAATATCTTATCACACAGATCACAAGCATACATTCCATTTTCTGTCTTTCGCATTTTCTTTTTGGGTGGCGTAGAATCAGAGTCATTCTGATCCTCGACGTTTGACACCCCTTCTGAGCTAGTGTCTTGCCTTTCATCCTAAAGGAAGACGAGAATAAGAAAATACAGCTTAACATAGAAACAAGGGATGCAAATAAAAGCATAGATTAAAGATTAACTGATTTATAATTTCAACAACTTGACCAAAGCAAGCACAGTGCTTGTCACCGTGGCTCAGTTCCTACAGCAAGGGAAGACGACAAGAGGGGGTTGCTGTGGATAAAAATGAGGTGGGCCTGATACAGACAAAACTACAGCAAAAACATAATACCTGGCACCGGAAGGAAAGGGTATAAAAAGAATGTACAGTGTGTACTAACAAAATTTACTTGGTTCCACGTGAAGCTTTTTGTGTGAAAAATTTGCAGAAAGTTTGAAAAGTGTATGAATTAATCGGTAACATATGACTGCATTATTCGCCTTTGTTTTTCATTCTGGCTTTCACTAGGCAAGAATTTAGACTTTTAAAAAGTGGTCCTTAGATTCTTGGAGCTAACATTTGTCTCATCGGAAGGAAGGAGCTCTGCTCTACCACTGTTTTACGGGGCAGACTGGAAAAAAAAATGCAAGCAGGTCCACATTTTTAAGCAGGAATACTTGGTAGTCAAAATGAATCTTTAGAATTCTAGTAGAATGAAAACAAAATGCAGGCAATCTCAGGAAGGCAGTTCTGGCAGGAGGCTCTGCTGATGGAATCATCCTGCAGGGACATGAGGAATAGGTCCTCTAAGAGCTTGGGTCTTTTCTCTAGCCTCCCGTTTTACTGCCTCTAAACTGCTAACCTTTCTGCAAGTCCAATGCTTTCCACATTTCTGACAGCTTTGCTAAGGTAGGAGAGGCGCAGTCATTTGCTGGGGTCATTTCTGAGCTGCCAACGGGTGCTAAAAAAACCTGACTGCTTTCATTGCTATTTCATCTAGTCCTAAGACTGCACAAATGTTTTTGTACTCAAATGCCTAGAAAGTGCTCTATACACGAAAAATCTAGAGGAATTCATGGGTTGTACAAGAGTTATCACAATGACAGGAAACTAAGTCAGTAGCGATATTTAAGGGAGAACAAAAGCAGCAAACACACATCTGAACAGGATATTGAAATTGTTATAGCTGAACCTACTTATAGAAGACATTTACATGAAAGATCAAATAGCTATCTCTATAATTCATTGGATTCAATCTTTCAATCAGAAGTTGATGGAAAACACGAGGAGACGTCAAGGTTAGTGACATGAGAAAAGCCTGGACAATGAGACATACAAGAGTCACATAAGAAGCCACACCCGAAACTACCATGTACATTTCCGTAGAGAGGAGAGTGAATATATAGATTCACAGCCACATTTCCTCCTACTAACACCTACAGCTCAGAAGATGATTGGCAAGTTCCCTAGGTTAAGGTCTTCAGGTACGGAATTCTTGTTTAATGAAGGCTTTTGTAAAATGAGGTGTTAGTATGTGAGAAGCGGTAGCTGGTCTGCCTGGTGCTCACCTGTGGACAGGAATATAGGAAAGATCTTCCAAAGTGTATCATGAATGTGCATAAGGAAAATCTACACACGGATCCCAAACATTTGTTTTTATGCCACCGGAAACTTATCTTTCAATAGCCCTTTTCCATGAACTTTTAAGTACTCTAGTATCTCCATTTACTAATGCTCATAATCAAGGCAGAAACTATCACTAATTTTGGGAATTTAACTACAAAATAGTAATTCCATCAATGAGCATCCCAATTTTGCTTTTCTCTTTCATTTGTAATCTCAAGCAGATGTTTAGCTGAGACTCATAAATCATTGTCACTCACACCTCAGTTGATAACAATATCCCGGATTAGTAAACAACGGAAAACATCAACCATGCCACAAAAAATTAAAGCAAACAACGATCTACTTCATTTTGGAAACGGCAGTTTGTAACAACCTTTTTGGCTCTGTGGTGACTCATTTTTATTAGGCAACTTTCAAAGACATCAAACTAGCATTCACTGGTGGATTCAGGATGAGGATATATTTTACCTGACTTCCGTTGGGCTGGATGACTTTCAAGGGTGGCTCCTGGACGGCAGGGCTGACTGTAGCTGAGTATGTGTAAGCCACCTGGGGAATCAGAATAGTCTGCTTATTGGCAGCCAGTGCGCGTAAGCACGGAACACTGTTCTGGTCAGCAATGGCCACGATTGTGGGTAACTGGGCAGTGACTGTCGGGATAGCAATATTTATGGGGTTGGCACTTGGTGGGATTACATTTACAACTGGTTCTGAGTCTGTAACACAAGTGTCCTTTTGTGGCTCCTTTTTTGCACAAGACAAGTTCAAGGGTTCTTCCTGGACAGAATAAACACTGTTCTGGTAAACACTAGTGATAGTTGACCTTTCCAATGATTCTCCCTGTTGCTTTGGTAGTGAAAGATCAAGAGGTTCTACTTGAGGCTCTTCCTGTGCACCCTCCGCTGTGTACGGGTAACCCTGTGGATTTCTGGATGAGGAGAGGTTGAGAGGGGACGGGGACGGGGTACTGCTTCTAGAGCCGCTGACGGCTGATCCCGCCGGCGGACCCGGAGAGTCAGTCTTCTTCAGAGGGCTCTGTAGGCTTTTTGTGCCGTCCTGGGCTTCACTGTCAGTCGTGGGTGGAGGCTGATCCTCGTTCTTCACGGGGATGTTTACTGTGCCGGGTTCAGGAGAAGACGGTTCAGAAGGCTGCACTGAAATCTGCCCAGCCTGCATCTTCTCAAACCACTTCTTAACGACGTCCAGGGGCAGGTTCACCGAGTCGGCGATTTTGGAGAGCTCCTCCGCGCTGGGCTGTGCGTTCAAAGCATAATATGCTTTCAGAAGGGACAAGAGGTTCTTCAGAGGTGGGTGACTGGGGGACAAACTGCCATCCCCAGCGCCTGAAGGGACAGAGGCCTCGGGCTTCTCCGCTTCTGGGGCCGGGGCTGGAGGCGGCTGCGCAGGCTGCTGCAGGTCATAGTGCTTCAGTTCGGGAAGTGCATTGAGATCGCCCGGACAGTCGTCACACAGAAGGCAAGTGCTGTCATCCGCGCCTCCTTCAAAGCTTTTGTCCTTCTCAGACTTAACAGTCAGATCTTCTGGTAGCTTCTCGCTTTTGCAGCTGTTTGTGGGGACCGGATTTTCTTTTTTTAAATTCTGCGGAACAACCTGAAGTTGACTGGGCTGCTCCAGACTGTAGTTAATGATAATTTTGGTTGTTCCATCTTGATCAACCAAAGGAAGGCTGATGGCTGAAATCACAGAGTGGCCACCTTGTTGTAGGGATGAAGCACTGATTGTGTCTTGTTCTTTGGATGCAAGATTGGCTTGATTATTCTCCAAAACTTGCCGTATGACATTACCATCGACTGCCACTTTAAGTACATTCTGAATGTCACTTAAATTGATGCTAATGGGAGACACCAAACCAACTGTTGGCAGAACAACAGCTTGCACCACACCCTGAGGAGAGCTGGTCGCCTGCAATGGGCCACCACCGCTAAAAACCCCGTTTTGTAAAGGGGTTGAACAGTTGATTCCTGAAGCAACCACGATGGGTTTGAATTCATAATCCACAGGTTCAGTTTTAATTTGGTTTACAGAAAGTTGTTCTTGAAGGGGTTTATTCTCTATCTTTTGCCGGATCTGTGGTCGCGTGGGACTGCCTGGTGATGCCGACAGAGATGGCGAGGAACACTGAGACGTCTTGATTCCTGTCCTTGGCCGCCCATTCACAGGCATGAGGCTGATACATTTCTTACTGCTTATGTGTGAACTATAGGAACCAGAATGGGAAAAACGTTTCTTGCAGTTTGGGCATTCATATGGCTTCTCTCCTAAACAAAAAGATTATATTCACTGAATTATTACATATACATTTTTGTATATCCACATTACCTAAAACAAGCAACATCCACTTTAAAAAAGTGACTATGTTTGCTTTTGATACAATTTTATTTAGAATCATCATTTTAAGTTCAAAAACCACAGAAATGTTATAAGCCCTAGTGAAACCTTAGTTCTGAACTACATGTGCTAACCATGTAGTTTAATGTATAATATTTTTGCCAACCTTTATAACTTTAAATAATTCTCACATGCCAAAATAATTATATCCTGCTCTTTCAAGTAATTTGTTTCTTTTCCTGTTTCACCATCTACATAATTTTCTGTATTTCATTCTACTCAACCATCTGTAAGAGAAAGTAATACCAGAAGAAGGAAAAGTAAAATCTCTAGGACGTAACCAGTATGACTGTTTATTCTTGATTGATGAAATCCTGTCTCCACAGTTTCCTTGATAAAAATCCCATATCCATAAGGTTTCCTTGAAAGAATCTTTTATAGTAGGATAAGGTGTTGCTATGAGCAACTGGCTTATTAAGCTAGAATGTGTACACCCTGAGACGTAGTGGAGTTTCAAATTCCGTGACAGTGGATATGGTAAAACATTACTTTTATATTAAAAGACTACACTGGAGAAGAGTGCAGCATTTGAGTGAATGGTTAGGATGAACAGGCAATATCAAAGGAGCTTCTTGCCCATGGAGGCCTCCCTCAAGCTGCTGCCCCAGTCTCCCCAGGGACACGGGATTTGTTCACCTTGCCCATTACAGATGCTCCTGAATAGCCCTGAGCTATGTGAGGTCCTTTAAAACAAAGCTCATTTTTCATTTTAGTTAAAATTTATAGTTACAGTTCACTAATTTATAGTTTACAGGTTACAGACTATAAGTTTCAGTAAGTGTGACCCTCTAGGTCGTTAGCCATTTATCCCCTGCACCATCACAGTGCAGGTCACAGAGATGCTCATTAAATCTTTTTTAGATGACTGAATGGCTAATTGTAGGATCATGAGATGTAATAATGCTGATTTGTCTACTCAATGACAGGCTGACAAAGGTCAAAATGAAACTCCTTCTCCCCTTTATTTTTAAGAATTAGAATGAAGGCAGTAAGAAAGTCAATTAAGAACTCTGCTAACAGCATTAAGTTCAATGTTGTTAAGTTAAAAACAAGGTGTATTTCCTCATAAATATGATGAGTGAAGAATCAGATATTCAAGCTGCTAGCAATCAAAGAAGCCCTCTACACAGGCTGCTTCTCAGTGGCGAGTCCAGTGTATGTCATCCTGGCCATCAGCTAGCCCGGAAGTCACTACCCGCTGTGTGTGTGGTTCAGATCCTGGCTCTGTCACAGGATCCTCCCGGCCTTTCCAAACCTCAGTGTGTTTCTGTGTGAATGCAGACACATTCTCACCGGGCTGTGAGATTACACACAGAACTCTCTGAGGGGCCAGCACTGGGGTGCAGTGGGTTAACACCCTGGCCTGAAGCGCTGGCATCCCATATGGGCACCGGTTCAAGACCCAGCTGCTCCACTTCCAATCCAGCTCTCTGCTGTGGCCTGGGACAGCAGTAGAGGATGCCAGGTGCTTGGGCCTCTGCACCCGCGTGGGAGTACCAGAAGAAGCTCCTGGCTTCGGATCAGCACAGCTCCAGCCGTTGTGGCCAATTAGGGAGTGAATCAGTGGATGGAAGATCTCTCTCTCTCCCTCTCTTTGCCTCTCCCTCTCTCCATATAACTCTGACTTTCAAATAAATAAATCAATCTTAAAAAAAAAAAAAACTCTCTGTGCACTCTCAGCAAACGTTAGTGACCTAGGACCAAGCAACTCCACTGAGACAGCTGGCAACCAGGCCTACGTCCCCACCTGGTTTCTCCACATGATGCCACACGGAGCATGTCTGACTTTCCTGCACAAGCCAGCCTTTCAGACTAACGAGGAGCTGCCACGTGTATCCTAAAGCCTCTTGCGTAGGTGAAGTAGGACCAGGTCCTGCAAGCATCCCTCACAGACGTTAGCTGCCTCTGGATGTTCTCCAGTCACTGTATCACTATCTTTCCAACGGGATGCCTGGGATAGGGCTCAACATGTAAAATGCATGGGCTAACGGTTTCCAGTGAGGGGAAAACAGGGGTATGCCCTAGTACATATCTATTTTCATATTCTTAATTAGTTACTAACATTTTAAGGGTGAGCTGCATGCTAATATTCCTGCCAGAGACAGTAGGAAGACAGACATCTGTAATTCAGACTATTTTATCTTTACAAACAGGGAGACGAGTGGAACAGTGATTAATACAATGGCTTTGTAGTCAAGATGCCTACACCAGAGGCCCAGCTTTGCCATATGTATCATCTGAGAGACCTTGGTAATTAAGCTCCCTAAGCCTTTATTTTCCCATTTATAGAAAGTAAGAAGTAACAGCATCCACTTCATGGGGTTATTCTGAGGACTATGTAAGGTGTTTTTTTTTTTTTTTTTTTTTAAGATTTTATTTATTTATTTGAGAGAGAGAGTTATGGACAGTGAGAGGGAGAGACAGAAAGGTCTTCCTTCCGCTGGTTCACTCCCCAAATGGCCGTAATGGCCAGAGTTGCACCAATCTGAAGCCAGGAGCCAGGAGCTTCATCTGGTTTCCCACACAGGTGCAAAGGCCCAAGGAGTTGGGCCATCTTCCACTGCTTTCCCAGGCCACAGCAGAGAGCTGGAGTGGAAGAGGAGCAACCGGGACTAGAACCAGTGCCCTTATGGGATGCCGGCTGTGCAGGTAGAGGATTAATCCACTGTGCCAGAGTGCCGGCCTCAGGACTATGTAAGTTAATGCATATGAGGAACTAGCACATGGCTGTACGTGGTCAAGTATTCCGTAAGTGCTGGCTATCAGGGTGGGAGTTTGGCCTAGTTGTTAACACTCTGTGTCCCACATCAGAGTGCCCAGGCTGGATTTCCACCTCTGGATCCCATTCAAGCAGTGATGATGGCTGAAATAGCTGGGTTCCTGCCATCCATGTGGGGAACTTCTCTTGAATTTCCAGCTCCTGTTTCCTGCTCTGGGCCCAGCCCAAGCACTGGCAGGCATCTGGGGCATGAGCCAGCCAGTAGATGAGTACCCTGTCTCTCTGCCTCTCAAATTTCATTTCAAAAATATTAATTATGATGATCACTATTACTGGGAATTACCTTGACATTTTATCATTGCCAGAAAGAAAGGCTACAAAACAATAATTCTAAAGCCAAACTCATTCTATTAGAAAACCCCTAGGTGTAACTTCATGGCTTTAAGGTCAGTAGCTCAAGTCTACCATCTAGTTTATCTACTAGGTTCGGGTTTACAATTGGCGGTTACAACAGGAAAGCTCACTACTCAAAGTTGGATAAACTGTGAATACTAAGATGTCTTTTAATGGCTGAGGTGGGCATTTGGTTGCATATGATATAAAGTTTTTCCAGGCGAACCTCCGAAACACAATGGAATGAACTCCAGGTCACTTTCTGGGAAGGATCACAGCCCATTTGCTACGGGCTCATCTGAGGGTAGGCTACGGTGACCTCTTCATCAAAGCTCAACTCTTCTGTGCAGAGTTCGAATGACTACCACATGATTCTGCACAGGGTTCATCACAAAAGTCACAGTCCAGGTAACCTTGGAAGTAGAATTCTGGATCCTGATTCTCAGTATTATTGAAAATCTCATCAAGAAAAAAAAGTCACAGAGGTTTTCTGATGAATACGTAGTTCATCCACTGTTAAACAGCGCTGATCAAACTATCCGGGTTAAGAACCAGTTGTTTTTGAGTTGTTTGTTATTTTAAATCTCCAATCCTCTGTTGACCAGTATTTGTAAAATATAATGAAATATATATATATATATATCAGAGCAATGTCTTGGTATATTTATTTCTCAATGATCACCTTAACTCATGTATTTATATTTTCAACAACCAGAAACACATGGTTTTGAGACTGGTTCCAGTCCAGGGTTGACACTTTCAGTAGCCCTGCTCAAGAATCCTCCCGTGGAATAAACTAGAGCATCACAGCCTGTATATTGGACTGAATCCAAGCAGCCACCCTGGAAAAATGCTTTTTCTAAATTGTCCTAAGGAGAAACATTACTGCCCTCTGTGGAGGAATGTGTCCTTCTCAAATTCTCTACTGTATTAGTTTACGGATATTTCTGAGTATGACATAAATTCTATTTTGCTCTCTTTTCTTTGTGGTGCTCCAAGGAACACTCTTTTCTATGGGCTTAGTGGTGTCAGGAGCAGTCCTTTTCCTGCAATTGACTCTTTTTGCTTTCAGACAGTTTGGGCCTTGCTTACTGACGCCAGCTTTGTTATTTCCTAAGCCTCAGAGCCTAAGCTGTGGTCCAGTTCCAGCACATGTATGATGTATGGGATTTCATGACATTCTTTTTTTTCCACCATTACTTTATGCCAGCCTTCCTTTCTTAACATTTGTATGTAGTTTTAAGTTGGAACACTGTGTTAGAGGTACAGAAGCTTTGTAGTAAATACTCTGAAGCACAAGACAGCTCTCCATGCACCATGAGTACCCTGCAGAGGACGAGGACGGGGATGGGGCAGGGGCGGGGGCGGGGGCGGGGGCTGCTGTGTGCTGGCCAGAATGTGCTGGAGCTTTCTAAAGCAGCAGCAGCGGGCCCAGTCAGCTCACAGCAAGCTCTTGTTCATCCAGGCCTCCTACTTGACTGAGACTGGTTTTTGCATATCAATGCAAGACTTCAGTAAGTTTCAGCTTGTTTCTAGACTCGTATTCTAACCTCTGGCAAGTTCTAGATTTCTCTGTATCACTTGATAAATCCTCCTATACAAATTCAACACAAGAAGATGAATATGACATTCACTTTGTTAACACCAGTCTTGTTCTTGGGTTTGTTTTCCTTCCTCTACCCCAATTTCAACATCTTTAAAACTCTCTCGACTTAGCTGTGTCTCTACCAACAATTCAAATTGTTCCTAGTAGAAGGGAGGTTATTAAAAATACTTTGTTACTGATCAAATTTGTTCACTAGCACAGGAGCTAAGAAGCAGGATGCTATAGCAGGCTGCAAAAGATAACCTCTACTTTTCAGAAACAATCAACCTGTGAAAATAAATATTTGTGTAACAATCTTGGTTTAAGCATTTCCAAGTGGCAACATTAGCATATTTATCATTGGGTTTGGTTCAGTATTATGGTAAAACGTTTAGAAATGCAGTTCCAAAATATAACAGAAATCACCCACACCCCTCGCAAAGGCACCCAATTGTACTTTTTTGTAGGAAGATGTTTATAAAATGTAAATGTCAATACAATAATTTTCACAAAATAAGCAATGTGCAAATACTCCTAATTTCCCATTCGTTAGCTAATGGTTCTCTTTCATTAAAATTATTTAAATCTAAAATAACATATCAAAATTAATCAGGACATGAACACATTTCATAGTGTAATGTGAGATGCTACTAAGTGTTTTTTGATGAGCTTTTGTTCATGTAGACTAAAGAAATGCAAATGTATGAGTAGCTCTTTTTGTGTCCTGTGTTTGTAAAATAGACAATACTTTTCATCAAATAACAGTATCTATTTCATAAGCGATGCTTTAGGAAATGACAGAGAATGGAAAGGTGAGCATGATGGCACACACTCTTAAGTAATAGCCTTTTACAAACTGTAGCTCTCTGCCCTTATTAGTTGTGCAAAAGATGCAATGAAATGAACATTCCCCAGAAAGCTAACATGTTTTTAGGTTGCACTTGTTAAAACGTGGTGTTCTCTTCTGGTTAGGAAGTCTGCAGTATGTCATATTATGTTCATTTGATATATTTTGGTCAAAGGTTAGGAGTCTAATAAAATATCATTACGAACAGAAGGTTCCCCCATATCAGACTTTATCCTACAAGAAAGGCAAGGAGTTCTTGGTCATACGCAGAAATCACATTATTATTTATTACCACACATGCTATGATGTTCAGGGCGTAGAAAGACAACAAGTATTTACCGCTGTGAATCCTTAAGTGCTCTTTTAGGTGGTGTTTGTATTTGAAAGCTTTTCCACATTCAGTGCACTTGAATTTACGATTACCCCCAGACTGTGTCACATGTCTCTGTAAGAAAGAATTGGTATTTTAGTTGTGAATTAAAAGCACTTCACTCAGCATACTGTTTTAGTGAAATAAGCCAGTCCCAAAGGGACAAATACCATATGTTCTCCTTGATCGGTGACAACTAACTGAGCACCAAAAAGGAAACCTGTTAAAGTGAAATGAACACTATGAGAAACGGTGACTTGATCAGCCCTTGCTCTGACTGTTGATGAACAACTTAATACGTTATCCCTCTTAGTATTTTTTTTTGTTTGTTCTACTTAATACTTTTGGTTGAATACTGTAATCAATACACAGTTATTCTTAGATGTTGAAACTTAACTGAAAAGTGATCGCTGTTAAATATAAGAGTGGGAATAAGAGAGGGAAGAGATGTGTAATTCGGGACATGCTCAAGCTGACTTGCCCCAAACGGTAGAGTTAGAAACATACCAGAGGATTCCAATTCAATCCCATCAAGGTGGCATGTACCAATGCCATCTCACTAGTCCCAGTGATCAATTTCTGTTCACAATTGATCATAATGATAGGACTAAGAGCCAAAGGGATCACATAAACAAGACTGGTGTCTGCAAATACTAGCTGATAGAATAAAAAAGGGAGAGAACAATCCAACATGGGAAACGAGATACACAGCAGACCCATAGAATGGCAGATGTCCTAAACAGCACTCTGGCCTCAGAATCAGCCCTTAAGGCATGCGGATCTGGCTGAAAAGCCCATGAGAGTATTTCAGGCATGGAAAGCCAAGACACTCTGGCAAAAAAAACAAAAACAAAAACAAACAACAACAACAACAACAAAAACCACAAAACTCTAAATGAAAGATCTCCATGAGTGAGATCCCAGTGAAAAGAACAGGTCATCAAAGAAGGAGGTACCTTTCTCTGAAGGGAGGAGAGAACTTCCACTTTGACTACGACCTTGTCTAAATATGATCAGTCGGTGAACTCAAAAGGCTTCCATAGCCTTGGCAGCTCATGACAAGAGCCTAGGGTGATTACTGATGCCATAAACAAGAGTGTCAATTTGTTAAGTCAACAACAGGAGTCACTGTGCACTTACTCCTCATGTAGGATCTCTGTCCTTAATGTGCTGTACATTGTGATTTAATGCTACAACTAGTACTCAAACAGTATTTTTCACTCTGTGTTTCTATGGGGGTGCAAACTGTTGAAATCTTTACTTAATGTATGCTAAACTGATCTTCTGTATATAAAGAGAATTGAAAATGAATCTTGATGTGAATGGAAGGGGTGAGGGAGCAGGAAAGGGGAGGGTTGCGTGTGGGAGGGAAGTTGTGTGGGGGGGAGCCATTGTAATCCATAAGCTGTACTTTGGAAATTTATATTCATTAAATAGAAGTTAAAAAAAAAGAACTTCAGACATAAAGAACATCCAGTCTGTTAAAAGTCATGTTTTGGATGAGTATGATGATTGTGTTTCTAAAAGGTTTCAAGTTCCAGCAGTCACAAAACATCAGCAGTAATTCCGACGTGGAGGAAGTGGGGACTGAGAGAGCAGTTAGATGCCCATGTCTCACATCAGAGTTCCTGGTTCAGTTCCCAGCGCTGGCTTCAGTGTCCTGCTAACGCAGACTCTGGGAGGCAGTGCGAAGGCTCAAGCACTTGGGTCCCTGTCACCCATGTGGGAGACCTGGACTGAGATCCCAGCTCCTGGCTTTGGCCTTGACTTACCCTTGGCTATTGTGGGCATTTGGGGAGTCAATCAGTGGACAGGAGCTCTCTCTCTGTCTCTCTTTCCATCTTTCAAAAAAGTTATGACTTAATAAAAAAAAGAATTTTGATATAGAGAAAGTCACAATTTATTTCAAAACTTGATGAAAAATGGAATTAAAAGATAAACTTACTTTGGTGCAAAAAATTAAAACTCACATATAGTTTTTCCATAACATGCATTTTCCATGAACTTCTTTAAAAAAGATCTACTATATGATACTTAACAAAAAACATAATACGTGCTTTATAGGGACTAGAGATTAATAGATTAATCTTGTTTACACTTTGATTTACAGATAAAGAAACAGAATAAAAATATTCAGTCATCTGTTAAAAGCACAGTTACTCAAAAAAAAAAAAAAAAACACAAAACAAAAACAAAAAACAAGGTCATTAGAAGGCCAGGCTTTTCCCAGTATTGTAACTATCTCCTTTATGTTTGATATTTCTAACATGTAGTTCAGTAGGATGATTTTTAAAAATACTTCTATCTTTTCTGTCAAATTGGATTATCATAATGGCTCATCTTTCTGGATTACTAAATTTACATTTTTATGTGTTTTAAACATATTGTTGCACACTTACATTAATCTCATGAATGAATGGCTTGAATTACATGAAGGGTCTTCACAAAGCTAAAGGAAAATGTGTAATATGAAAAAACTATGCATGGATTTCCACATTTTTTTGCACCAAAATAAAGTAATACTAACTTGTCAAAGCCTGTCCAAGCAGGATCTAGTTTGAGGCACTAAGGATAAGACACCAATTTGAAAAGAGCCCATTTGAACCACATGCATTTTGCTGAAGTCAAAGCAAGAACAACCACAAATTTATGGCGAAGTGTGGATGGAAGGCTGGTGAAACCACTGATGTTTCATGAAAAGTCTGTGGGGACAATGGCTCAGAGCAAGTGGCAGCGCACAAGCTGATAATCTGTTTTGAGAAGGGACAAGACGAAGGTTACCCTGAGGTCTGCAGGGGCAGACCATCGACACTGATTGGAGGAAGAGATTAACCCTGCTCATGCCCTAACTGAGGCGCTCACCCACACTGGTTCCGCGTGCACACGACTGCCTGGAGAATTAAAGTGGAACTAACTTTCTGCTTGGTTAGTGCCCAAGCGGCAGGTGCATACAAGGGCAGAGCTGTCAATGGGACCCTTACACATCTGGGGTCGGGATCCTGAAGCACTTCTAAGAATTAGAACAGAAGAGACATGCCTCTCCCAGTGTGATTCTGAAGATAAAACACAATCAGTGAAAGAAACCGCCACCAGGAAGGGAAAGTGGTCCAAAGCACAGTGGGCCAGTCAGGGAAAAGCCGCAGCAACAGTCCGAGGGGATGCTCCGGGCATTCGACTTGTTGGCTTTCTGGAAGGCCAAAGAACACTGGCTCATTAGGAGAGTGTGTTGAGAAACTGAGTCAAAACTGTAGCAGAACAGAAACTGTAGCACGGACAATGCTGCGAGCCTCACTGGGAAATCGGTAGGCATCCACTTTACAACCACTGCTCGGCTCCTCCTGACTTCTTTGCATTCCCTGACCTTGAAAGTATCTTTCAAGGGTATCCGTTTTTCTTCAGTTATTGACACAAAAAAGACCGTATTGACTTAGCTAAATGCCCAGGACCCTGGGTCTTCAGGAGTGAACTAACAGGCTGCTGTTACCACTTACAAAGGTGCCCTGGACCTGATGGAGCTTAAGTGAGAAGAAGTTTATGCTTTGTTTTTTACCTGTTAGTTTCATTTGTTATGAACTCTTTGAAATGCCCTCATATTTCTAGCAATTCCTGCTTAAAAAAACTTCTGAAGGATCCTTATTTCCCCTGACTAAGGATTCTGAGTCTACAGGTTCCAGGACTATGGCTTCTGAGTTTCCCACGTTCTCCTTGCTCAGCTGTGTGCGAAGTTCACGCCTCAGCCATCTACAGAGTCGCGGTGTTTCACACGCACAGCCCCAGCCGGCCTGGTGTCCTGTTCCACACTTCGCCTCACTCTTTGGCTGTATTTCCCTTTCGTTCTACTGTGAAGCCCCTACCTGTCTTTCAAAGGCCTCACTCCAGTGCTACCAGCTTCCTGCTCACCCTAGCTGTATTCTCCGTTCCGTTGCCTTTTGTACAGGAGAGAGAGTGAATATTTATGAAGTATCAGGTCCTTTTCATCCAAACTCATGCTGGAAATACCAAGTATAAGGGGTCTCCAACAAGTTCACAGAAAATGTGCATTATGACAGAACTAAGCATTGATTTCAAAATTGTTTTGCGCCAAAATAAAAGGGTCTTTTGACAGCATTTTTCCAGAACATTCTGAAGTACTCTCAGATACAGTGACAATTCCCTAATTTCTATCTCAAACCTCTCCCCTCCGCTCCAGTCTCCCAGAGCCACTGCTTGTTTGATGCTGTCAGTGAAAGGTGACAGGCATCTGAAGCCCACCGTGCTTGAGACCAGACTCTTAATTTCCCTCCTGCAAACCAGCTTTCTCACTAGCACCTCCTCTCTGTGAAAAGCACCCCCAGTTACTTAGTTACTGCTTGGCCTTGAGCTCTGGAATTATCCTGATTCTTCTCTTTCTGCCACCACCCCAGCCCACGCCAGCCCAGCAAGCCATCTGAGTAGACACAGTGTCACCTCTGGCCAGGATTCCAGCAGTGGCCTCTGAACTTCACTTCCTCCTGCTTCCATTCTTGCTGCACAAATCAGTGTTCCCTTGCAAAAGTACACACAACATGGCCAATCTCCTTCACAGGTTTTCCTGCCACACTTTAGGATAAAACCAGATCTTCACCTTGGCCTGGACAAGGGCCTGTATCTTTTGGCCCCTGACCCCCTCTGGCCTCACCTATCTGTCCCCTTTATTCACACTGGCCCCTTGCGGCTCCCTGGACGTGCCAGACAGGTTTCTGCCTCCAGGCTTTCCCATGTGTCAGTCCGTCCCCTGACTGGAACGGTCTCCCAGGACTCTGTGCTGGTTCCTTCATGGTACCCCAGCACCAGCTTCAGGTTCCCCACTCTCACAGGGTTTTCCTACCCTGCAGCTTTCATCATGTTAAAAATCTTTTTACCCTGCTTTGTCTTCATACTAGCTACTTTTCTTTTACTTCTATCTTATCTAAATTACTAAAATATTTCAAAAACAAAAAAAGGGGGGGAGCCGGCGCTGGCTGTGGTGTGGTGGGCTAAGCCTCCACCTGCAACACCAGTATCACATGGGCACCGGTTAGAGTCCCAGCTGCTCCACTTCTGATCCAGCTCCTTGCTTAAGGCCTGGGAAAGCCATGGAAGATGCCCAAGCGCTTGGGCCCCTGCAGCCACGTGGGAGACCTGGAAGAAGCTCCTGGCTCCTGGTTCCTGGCTTTGGATCAGCCCGGCTCTGGCCGTTGTGGCCATTTGGGGAGTGAACGAGTGGATGACAGACCTCTCTCTGTCTCCCTCTCTCTGAAACTCTACCTCTCGGATAAATAAAATCTTTACAGAAAAATAAATTACTAATGCATGCTTGCTACTGTCCTGGAGTTTGCCTTTCTCACCACTGTGCCTTTAGCGCCTAGAACAGGGCTTGACGCACGATAGGAACTGAAGTCTTTGTTGACTGAATGAGTTAGTAAGCATGGACATCCTCACCTGTTAGTTGCAGTATGATTTCCACAGGTCAGAAAGCCCTTCTCCCCTAAGTCTGCTGCCTCGCAACCTAAGTGCTCTCTGGGACTGCCCCGTTCCACTGCCTCACATGACTGGCCCCTGCCCTTACCACGGCTCCTTCCTGACGGGCCTCCACAGTCCACATGTAAAACCTACATTTGCATTCGCAAAAGTGGCTTTCAAGTTCACTATAGAGGCTGTTTTTACAATGGCATCCTCTGCTTCTGCCACTCTCTCCTTCCTTTCACAGGGGGCCTCTGCACAGACAGCATGTGGCGGCAGCAGCTGCAGGGTGGCCACGTCAGGCCTCGGAAGGTTACAAAGTGGACCCTGCTGGGCTGTGCCTCCTGAGACTCATCATCAGGGCCCTAGATCAGCAGGTGATGTGTGTCTTGGGCAGCTTCTTCCCAGTGTCCACTTCCTCCTTCTCTTGGGACTCTCTCATTCCCAGTGCTTCTTCAGGGCCTTAACCATCAGCCTATCGGAGGGAATCTTGGTCCTAGTCTTCCTAATTGCCACCTTCTCCCCCACTATCTTGTTATTTTGTGAGGGCTATTGCCAAAGTTCTGAGAAAGGTTGACTGCTCATTCCTTTTGTTGCATTTTTTTTTTTGGAAGGGGTAGTTATCATCTTAGCAAAGTTCTCTAGGGGAACCTGTGATTTCTATCAGATTTCTACCATATGGCAGAGTTCTCACAAGTCCAGGTACGCAAACATGAATAATCCTTTGATATAAGAAACTGGCCATGTGCCCTAACTCCAAAATATTCCTGAACATATCCTATGAAACTGAATATGTATTTTATTTTTTATAAAAATTAGAGTTAAATTGATATTAATTTGATTATTGACAGTTAACACAGTCAAGATTTTGCAGAAAAAAAAAACAAAAACAAAGGACAAGGGTTAAGGCTTCTTTGGCTTTAATCTAAGTACAGAGCTAATAGTTTAAATGTAACTTAGAGTCATAAAATGCTCTTGGTTGAACTTCCATAAACTTGGGCATGGTGACACAGAAGTAGAATAAACCATATGACAACTGAGTGTACAGAATAAAAAAATCAAAACAGGATGTAACATCCCTGAGTATAGGGAAAAAAAATCCCAGCAGCTTTTACTGAGACTGGTGAGTCACTGGTTCAAACAAAATTAAAATTCATTATTTGATTTTCTCCTTAATTTGGTTCGTATTAAGCCATGGGGTTTATAGTAATCACTGTTTATTTTTCCTATACTGAGTATTTTAGTAGGAGGCAATTTGAAATCTTCTAACCTTGGAGAAATACTTGTTATGGCATAAGCCAAATAGTTACATCAATACCATGTCTGAAAAAGGAAAACAAAACCTTAGTTACTCTAAACAAATAATGTTCCTATGTGGTTTTTAACTGAGAAGTGACCATACAATTCAAATAAAGAACCCCTTTTATTTTGATAACGCTACATGAACGACAGTGTCTAGTACATCCTTCTAGCGTACCCTCGGCCTTCGCTGAGCGCTGAGTTCTCACAGTTGGGAAAGTCAGTGACGCGCACTTACTTGATCTCGTCCTGACTTGTGTGACGTCATGTGACGCTCCAGTTGGGTTCTGTAGGCAAAGGTGTAACTGCACAGGGAGCAACTGAAGTTGTCCTCGTTCTTTTCATGGCGATATTTAATGTGTTCTTTCAGAGAGGTAAAGCGCTTATAGCCCCTGTCGCAATATGGGCACGTGAGCAACTGGGAAAATGCATCTGGTGTTCCTGTGAAAGAAAGATGACTTATTTTAAACCTAAAACATCCAAGAACACTACTAAAGTGACCACTGAGTCCCCATGCTAAGTGCCAGGTATCTGGCCGTCCAATTTATTTGATCCTCAGAAGAATACAACAGTATGTCTATTTTATGAAAAAGGGAATGCAACTCTCAGAAAGGTTAAATAACTTCAAAGTCACACAGCCAGTAACTGATGAAGACTCCTGTCTTTTTCACTAACCCACAGTCCTTCCCTTCTTTTGTAGGGTCAACTGAACAAAGAAAATGAAAGTAAAATGAGACTATAGGTTACATTCATAAAGGTGTACATATTAAAGAGGAAATGTACTCTACAACAGAATCTGTTACTAATGGTTGTATCATTATTTAATGTTCATTCTTTTGAACTTGGAGAAGACATTATAAGGTTGCTGTCAAAAACAGAGTAAGCGGTACAGTCAGATTGTGTTTTAAAGATTCATTTGCATTTAGGTGTAGCCATTTAATTGAGTTCAGAACAAGAAGAATGCATATAGCAGGCAGCGAGGGAGGGAGAGTGGTCAGGGCCACATTTGGACTTGGCCCACAAAGACCTTTGACGTATGTGGTTCCTCTACTGAAACACACTGACAAATAACTTTCCAAAAATAGGTTCATTATGGGTAAATCAGAGTCTACCAAATTAACTTTATTTTTACACATACAAGCACTGAAGCCTCATAACCCTAAAATGTAATATTTTGCCAACTGATTTTACTATGTTAAATTTGCTAAAGTAAGCTTTACCGTGTAACTAAGAATATTTTCCGTATTTGATTTATCACAGAACAAGTTCCAAAGTGATACTGTTAATATCACCTCTACTTTCATTTTGAGATACTTACAGAAAAAGACAACCATGACAAATTCTTAACAATAAAATGCTTCCAAAATATATTATTTCACTGTATGGGAATTCAAATCTCTATAAATTGAATATCTTGCTCAAGGACTAGCTTACAAATAATAAACTGTACCTGACATCTACAGATCTAGTCAACTGTGTTTAAATATGTATCCTGGGTAAAGCCCCTGCCTGTGGCATCCCGTATGGGCACCAGTTCATGTCCCATCTGCTCCACTTCCAATCTGGATCCCTGCTGATGGCCTGAGAAAAGCAGCAGAAGAGGGCTCAAGTGCTTGGGTCCCTGCCACCCATGTGAGAGACCCGTATGAAACTCCTGGTTCCTGGCTTTGGCCTGTCCCAGTCCTGGCCATTGCAGCTATCTGGGGAGTGACCCAGTGGATGGAAGATCTGTCTCTCTTCCTGTGTCTGTAACTCTAACTTTCAAATAAATAAATAAATCTTTAAAATATGTATCAAATGTATGAATAAAAGATCAACCAACTGAAGCTCCAAAGTTTATGATGTTCTCTCTTGTTACCAGCATGGGAAAAACTTGAACCAAGGAGTTTTCTGTTAGGGATGACTTTAACTTGACCCTCTTCTTTGGGGAGGAAATCAAGTTTATTGTTTGTCCTGTAGGGATCTCCTATTTGTTCAGGCCAGTGGGAAATCAACATTTGGGACCTTTTCCTTGCCAGAATGCCCAATCCATCGTATTGATCTCAGGTGGTTGTAACGGCAAAAGGCAAGGTCCGCCATTGTGAGTGTTTCATTTTTTGAACCACAATGTCACAAGATTTTCACGCATGAAGCTGTTCCCACTGTACAAGTCATACAGCTGTCTGTTCTCATTATGTTCTATTTTATTTGTCGTCTTCATGATTATTCTTCATAATTAATATTAATTTTATCAAATCACAGGTTGCTCATGATGCTTGAACAGAAAGCTATTTTCATAAATCAATATTTATTGATTTTTCTCTGACATGAAAAATGGATTCATTGTTTCAGGCCACTAATATGAAACAATGAAAAATAAATCTGAATATCTGGTATAATCAGCATAGAATGAGTAGGTTTAAAAGATTCAAGGTTTTGTTTTTATTTCTGAAAATTGAATTGTTTTAAAAAATCACTTTTTAGCAATGAAACTTTGTCACCTAGGTTAAAAAAACACTTGTTTTTAGAATTTGTATAATAAAATGAAGGTAGCAATTCAATATCACTAAGAACAAAACCAGTCTATTTCTGACCATTTTTCAAATTGTCATCAGTAACTAACTATGACCACAGATGTTCTTATTTTCTCAAAACAGAATTCTTTGCTTTTTATATCATAAACTTCCTTTGTAGCTAGCATAACATTTCAGACTGATAGTATTGCTTAATATAAAACCTCTGAAAAATATCCTGCATTGGTTCAGCATGGATTCAGAATCTGCGGTTATTCAACATGCTGAAGTCAAATCTCCAGTTCACAACTTAGGAGGAGTGAGTGTAGGAGGGCACGTTTAATCTATTAAAAATTAGAGAACGTAAGATCTCCTGAAAACAGTCACTTTTTACATGTATACAGACGTTGCTGGTACGATACAGTATCTACTCTGGAACACTGTATTAGTGTTTAATTAAATAACAAGATATCTGAAGGTAGTGAGTAGTTAAGTTAACACAGTCTGTGTAATTCAGCTGAACTCAGAATAGTTGTCTCCCCAAGCTGAATGAGACCTTACTACTGATTATGACAAACTTCACAAGGCTAACCTTGCTGAAAGAAAGGCTTTCGCCACAAAAAATTATACATGTCTGCTTTTCAATTTTCTGTTTCCCATTCGTTTCTGTTAGAAAACTACTGCTTCGGGCCAGCGCCGCGGCTCAACAGGCTAATCCTCCGCCTTGCGGCGCTGGCACACCGGGTTCTAGTCCCGGTCGGGGCGCCGGATTCTGTCCCGGTTGCCCCTCTTCCAGGCCAGCTCTCTGCTGTGGCCAGGGAGTGCAGTGGAGGATGGCCCAAGTGCTTGGGCCCTGCACCCCATGGGAGACCAGGAGAAGCACCTGGCTCCTGCCTTCGGATCAGCGCGGTGCGCCAGCCGCAGTGGCCATTGGAGGGTGAACCAACGGCAAAGGAAGACCTTTCTCTCTGTCTCTCTCTCTCTCTCTCTCTCGCTGTCCACTCTGCCTGTCAAAAAAAAGAAAACTACTGCTTCTTCAGGGTGAAATGGTAACAAGTTTTCTACAGCAGAAACAAATCCCATTGAAGCCAGTAACCATGAAGCCTCCAAACACGCAGAGACCCACAGAGCTCTGGTGATTCGGCTGAGACGTAGTGTCCCCAGGGGCAGCACTCTCTTCTCCAGAGATGTGTCCCTTGGCCATGGGGAGGGCAGTTCTGGAGCAGCCTCTCTACTGGTATGTCCTCCGTCACTCACTCAGTTTCAGAAAATCCTGCTTTTCCACAGTCGGTTCATGACTGGGAGGCGACTGCTAGTTTCCTCCTGGGAACTCAGAGTGCATTCTGGGAACACCAAGTTAAGTCTGTCTGCGCAGCTGGGAACCCTGGAGAAGTCAAACCCAATGCAGGACCTTATTACTTCGAGAGCTCTTAAAACGTTTCAAGAGACTTCGGAGCTCTGGTGCAGATCCTGCATGAAAGGTCTTACAGGAACATCTGCACGTCACTGCCAGCTGTTGCTACGCCTGGACGGGCGGAATGACCACCTATGTTTTTCAGGACGGCCTGAGCATGCTTGTTTGGTTTTTCTTTATATGTCCTCCACTCTTTACCTGCTGACTCCTCTACTGTATGAGAGCAGACGAAAGCCAACATAGAAAAATCCCCGTCTGTGCATAGTGTGTCTTGAACAAGACAGCCATGTTTTGCTGGCTCACAGTGCGGCAGGGCAGTGAGGGTCAGGCTAGTTCTCACCTCTACTGCCTGCTGCGGGTGAGGAAGTAGAAGCTGACGCACAGGCACTGTTCTCAGCGTTTCACATGCAGTGGCACTGCCACCACACACACGAGCAGCTGATGATTTAATGCTGTCCTGTCATCCTGGACAACGACCCATTGATAAAACAGGTTACTCCCAACAGTCACATGTGAACAGCTTCAGTTCTCAAGAATGTTCCCAACAGTAGAGCAACAGAAACCACCATCCTTCCAAGAGGGGGAAAACCCACTGCTATCAAGTCCCACTTACCATTCTCATCCTGACCACTGGCTTCTGGTGTGCCCTGCCTCTGGTCCTCTTCAGGCGCCTCGGGATAGATGACGGCCGTGTCTTGTTGTTGCAGGAACTCTTCAACGTTAGGATCATGGTTTTGCTCATTTTCTGCATCCGAGTCACAATCGTCTTCTTTTACTGAAAGAAATGCACACTTTATAAAAAGCAATTTCACTACTAAGTTGTGACACAACTTTTCAAAACAAGAAACTATCCTGACAGACATGATTGTTCTTGAATTTGTAGAAAATACTTACTGAAAACTCAAAATGAACTCTATTCATTCTGTTGTAATCTTTAAGAAGTTATTTTGCTTTATAAATTTAAATATTAAAATGCATGGAATCTTCTGGTATCTTTTAGTCTTTATAGCCATTTAATTTTCTTAAGAAGAAAAACAGAGGTGATATATTTAACTGGATTCTTTGCTTCTCAATTAACGATGCAACAAGGAAAAATGAAAACTTCAGTTCTCAAAGATCACCCACCCAGCTACCTACCGTATCTATTTAAAGTTTAAACCTCAATCCATGCCACACAGTCCAGTTCTGTGACTTCCTAGATAACAGCTTTAGTAATTATCTACAGTAAGAAATATTTAAGTGAAAGGTATCAAGTCAACTAAAATTGCTTCTTCCCTCCTCTAGTTGTCACCCACAAAGAAGACTATTCTCTCTCCATTTCTGCCTCAGGAAATATTTGACCATGGGATCTAGGGTGAGGTTATAAAGATTAAGGAGCCCAGGGTTTCGCTGTGAGCAGGCAGCCCAGTTCCCCAAGCAGATCGCTGTGTGTGTCTCTCCCATGCTGGGGTACCTGTGAGGATTGAGTGGGCTTACTTCTTTAGAGACTTCACACTGAAGGGCCAGTTCTAAATGTTAAAACAGCACTCCCCAGCAGGCTCAACTGTGCCAAATCAAAACGGTGATGTATGGATAACTTTTTGTTCAATGGTTATTAAAAAATCTCGCTGAGCCTCCTGCCCAGTAGTAGTAACTATCTTCCTCAGAGTGGCTGCTGATTAAAACCTGGGAATCCATGACACAGTGTTAATGGTGAGCCATACTTTTTTCCTCTCCTTCCTAATACTGTTATCAATTATTTAGCATCTGCTGTATACGGAAATCACACATGCACTGTATCATGCAGTTCGTGCCAGCAGTCACCAGACTGGGGTTACTGGATGCAGGGGTGAGTGAAGACTCTGAAGAGGGGAGCTGATTGTGTCAGTTTTAAGGAAATCAGCTTCCAGGTCTGCAGCTCCCATGTTCGCTCTTTCTTAGGGGTGTGAAGGCTCTCTCCGCTCTTCCTTTTCCATAGTGCCCCTTGCTCTCATTTTCTTCAACGGGGAAAAAACAGAGAAAGGCACATTCTTCAATCTGTCCATTACATTAACACGGTATCTTGTCTTGGAGGGTAAAAAATCTCTGGGGGCCAGTGGAGGACAGTACAATACTCTCCTCCGTTGGGCGGGGTGGATATCTGTACAACTGATCAAGGCTACATAAGATCACTCCAGGTCTTCCAGCTTCCTGTCATAGGGACTTCTGGTAGGCGAAGGCTGGGCAATTAGAATGGGAAGCGGAAATCAACTACAGAGGAATGGTCTTCCTTTAATGGCCTCACCTGTGCCACCCTCTCACTACCAGGAGAAGACTCACTGCTCTGCAGGGGGCTGATGAGTGCACAACAAAGATCCTCCCCAGACACCAGTCGTCCTTCCTGTTCTGTCACAAGCTGAACCCTGAGCACTGCCGAATAAGCCACTGGGAAGAACGGAGAGTCTTTCCAACACAAGTTCAAACTGTCCCATTAAACCAGGGCAAACCTCATGGATGAAATTTAGATTTTATGCGATTTCTTACAGATTCCATGTAGATTTGGAAATAGTCAAAACGTCATCAAACAATAACATAAAATATTAATTTCAATTAAGCAATCTCCATCTTATGTTAGGCTTTCCCATGTCCTAGTAACAAAACTTATGTCTACTCATCGAGATAAAATTTTCAAGTAGTAGACACTTTTTTAGAGTTAGTCTGATTTTTATGCATGAATTTTGCTCCTTCCGTAAGTTAGAAGCTTACCTGTACACGCATTCATTCTAAAGGTACTCATTTGGAGACAAAAATTTTTTAAATAAGTGATAAAAATTAGACCTATGCCATCTTAATCTTGATTTTACTATTACTTCATCAATTTTATAAGATACTTTTACTTATACCTTGTACATTTTTCATTCTATATAACTTATATAGAAGGGTACTTCAAAAAGTTTATGAAAAATTAAAGGTAATTTTATTTTCATGCAAAAATTTTTGAAATTCATGCACAGTTCATAGTAAGCATTTTTGAAGAATCCTTATATACATGGATTTCAGAAATTTTTTGCATGAAAAATAAACTTCTAATTTCATTTTTCACAAACTTTTTGAAGTACCCTCATTCTTACTGAAGAAATTCTATAAAATTTATAAACAGTTATTTATTTCAAATGGGAAAATGACACTTTGTTTTTCCTTTCAATGACAGAACTGATTCGGCTGATTGGTGTGACAGTAATAACTGGCTTTGCTAATTATGTTATTGGGTAGAAATCTTCCAGAAATGGGATGAACTACTGATCAAAAGGTATTGCATCTAGCAAAACAAAAGGATTTTTATTACCAACGTGTTAGCAAGAGACACTGAAATTAGCCATATTTAAATTTTTCCAACCATTTTTGAACTGCTATAGATACTACATGCCTCTTTGTGAGGAAGCAAAGAAACCACAAAACAGGTATCATTGGTCCTTGCTAAGTAAAGTCCTTCTGTACATGTTCAAGGAAACGTGGGACCAAATGATTTTAATGACTGAGAAACAAATCCTTTGTAAACTAGGTGTTTATAATTTTTGTTTTCAACAAAATTGATGGAGTACTTAACTGAATTGTTAGTTGGCAAGACATTAAAATATTTTTATTGATAATCATAATCCTCGGCATTAAAATACTTCATTGATCAATAACCCTAACTAATAGCATATAATTCTGAAGCTACATAAAGAATCTAGTAACTCAGCCAGAACAAAAAACCTCCTCTTTTATTTTACAATAAGGTTATCTCAATGCTAAACAAAAACTGAAATAGAATTATTAAATGCTGAATATTTTCTTTCTAGAAGTAAGTGACATTAAGCTATTGATATATGAAATAACTGAAAAATGTCTCAGCTCTTTTAATCTCATTTCCATAACATTTTAGTAATTATTTATTAAAAATATAAATATATTTATATTATGACCAACTGTGAACTACTAATAAGTGAGAAATAAATCTAGTTTATTTTAAATCTTCAAGGTTTTTTTGGTCCCTGGAAAGTAAAGAGAAACTTTAATTTCAATTTAAATACATATCTTCTTATAAAAAATATGCAGTTGATCAAAAATGCCTTCAACCAGGCAACGTATGTTGTTAGCATATAATTCTACTGGGTATATGGAATAAAAGTAAGAGTTCAAGGAGTAAACATTATGATGTAACATTTCTGACGATTTCAAGAACTCATTCATATTTCTTTTTTTTTTTTTTTTTTTTTTTTTTTTTTTTTTTTTTGACAGGCAGAGTGGACAGTGAGAAAAAAAAACAAAAAGGTCTTCCTTTTGCCGTTGGTTCACCCTCCAATGGCCGCCCTGGCCTGCGCGCTGCGGCCGGCGCACCGCGCTGATCCGATGGCAGGAGCCAGGAGTCAGGTGCTTTTTCCTGGTCTCCCATGGGGGGCGGGGGCAAGGCCTCTGGGCCATCCCCCAATGGCTTCCCTGGCCACAACAAGAAGCTGGCCTGGAAGAGGGGCAACCGGGACAGAATCCGGCGCCCCGACCAGGACTAGAACCCGGTGTGCCAGCGCCGCTAGGCGGAGGATTAGCCTAGTGAGCCGCGGCGCTGGCCCATTCATATTTCTTAAAAAATGACTCATAGGAGGTATTAAGTTGCCTTAGAGTCCACATTCAAGAGTGATACTAAAAATGCCAACGCTTTTAATGTGCCAGAAATTATTCCCAATTACTCACAACTGAAACTAGGAGTTTTGTGAGGCAGCATATACTCAGTTCACATACTAAAAGCTTTGGGGGGGGTCAGAGGGTTGTTGTGAAGATTAAATTAACATAGTAATGTGCTTATTGGAACTGCACTTAGCACTTATTAACGCTATGTAATTGTTAGCTATTTTCTTACAGCAATCCTGCGAGACGAACATCACAATATCGCAATGAAGTCTTTTTTCAAAGAAGAAACAGAGTTAGGAAAGTTAGCTTTCCCGTGACCACAGAGGAAACAAGTACCTATCAGAGCGCACGACTGGCTACTAGTGTCTGCTACCAACTGCAGGCTCTTTCCACTAAACCCCACTCTCCACAAGTCTGCATTAGCAAGCCCAATTTCAAGCTGAGAACAGGAATTCTGCCGTTTTATCCATAAAATATACAGTATTATACAGTGCATCTTGTGAACATAGCAATTATAAAGCAAATAATTTCCTTAAGACTGATAAACCGGGGCTGGTGTTCCGGTGTAGTGCGTAACGTTGCCATCTATGACACTGTCATTCCATAGGGGCGCCAGTTCCTGTCTGCATGCTCCAGGACAGGAACTTCTGATCCAGCTCTCTGCCGTGGCCTGGGAAAGCAGTGGAGGATGGCCCACGTCCTTGGGCCCCTGCACAAGGAGACCCCGAGGAAGCTCCTAGCTCCTGGCTTTGGCCTGGCCCTAGCCATTGCATCCATCTGGGAGTAAACCAGTAGATGGAAGATCACTCTTTCTTTCTCTGTCTGTCTGTCTCTCTTTCTCTCTTTCTCCTTTTCTCTATGTAACTCTGGCTTTCAAATAAGTAAATAGATCTTTAAAAAAATTGCTAAACTTAATGTTTATATTAGAGAGGAGCAAGTGTACTGAATCATATGATGATAATTTGGCTTTGTTGTACATGAAAAACCTCAGAGCTGACTGACAAAGGATAGATTCCTAAGACTATAATCACTGGTCAAATGTAAAATTACAGCACTATAATCATAATTAGAGATGGCAACTATTTGTCATAAAGATTTTTTTTTTTTAGCCAGAAATATTCGTATAAGAGTGTACTTTAGAAAATATGTGGAAGGGCCGGTTGTGATGAAGCAGGCTGTCACTGCTTGTAATGCCTACATCCCATATCAAAATCCCAGTTTAAGTCTCGGCTGCTCCACTTCTGATCCAGCTTCCTGCTAATGAGGCTGGAAAGGCAGCAGAAGATGCCCAAGAGTGTGAGAGTGTGGACCCCTGCAATCCATGTGGGGGACCAGGATGGGGTTCCAGGCTCCTGGCTTCAGCCTAGCCCAGAACTAATGATGGTGACCACTGTACAATGCTTTTATCAGCTTATTAGTCCCTGCAACTCAAGGAAGCAACAAAAGCAAAGGTAAAATATAATTTTAAAGTTTAGCTGCTGGGGCCAGCGCTGTGGTGTCGTGGGTAAAACCACTATCTGCAGTGCCGGCATCCCATATGGGTACTGGTTTGAGTCCCGGCTGCTCCTCTTCCGATCCAGCTCTCCACTGTGGCCTGGGGAAGCAGCAGAAGATGGCCCAAGTCCTTGGGCCCCTGCACCCATGTGGGAGACCCAGAAGAAGCTCCTGGCTTCGGATCAGTGCAGTTCTGGCCATTGTGGCCAATTGGGGAGTGAACCAGCGGATGGAAGATTTCTCTCTCTCTCTCTGCCTCTCCTTCTCTCTCTGTGTAACTCTGACTTTCAAGTAAATAAATAAATCTTTTTTTAAAAAAAGTTTAACTGCTTAAAAGCCTTTAAAGTTCAATTTCCATCTTCCTGAGAGTGACAGTTATTGGAGCTTTAGTACACATTTGCTTACTCCTAACTCCCCATGCTCCAGGAAATAACACAGCAGGTCATCTTCCTGTGGGTGGGGGAGACCTCACACGTTGGCAGCAACTTTGGTTAATATAAGGTTACCCTGTTTCTGGATATCATTTCTTTTCATTTTCTTCGGCAGGGCAGGGGTGGATTATGTACTATTTAGTACTTCAAACTGAAATAATTCATTTCTGTTTACAGTGAAGAGCGAATTGTGAAATAAAAAACTGTGAATGTCTTTTTTGAGAGTATTTTGTCTAGAAGGGCAAATGGCCTTCTGTAATTCTGATAACATTCTGAAAAGAGCAACAGAAACACTTTTGTGTTCATTAATATAACCATTCTGTTAATAACAAATACCCAGTTTAAATATTTTATACAATCTGCAGGTTCGCATGGCAAATATTTGATAATAACATATCTGAATACATTATTCATGCAAGTTACACAATACCTAGTTCAGAGCAGAATATGAAATCTTGGGCTGCAGGCAAATCATCACGTACTCCAGTGTGACTTGGTTAATTTACTCTGTTTAATGGAACGGAATGACAAGTATAGGAGTGCTAATGTTTATATCACAGATGAAAACCTATTTTTATATGTCTTACCCATGATCTACACTCATCGTACATGGTACAGGAAAAGACACTTTATTAGGTTCTATGCAAAATTTCTAAAATGTACTGCAAGGTTAAAAAAGTATACAGATGTTAAGCCACAGAGAAGAAAAAATTTAATTAAAAGTATATGGGCCGGCGCCGCGGCTCACTAGGCTAATCCTCCGCCTGCGGCACCAGCACACCGGGTTCTAGTCCTGGTCGGGGCGCCGGATTCTGTCCCGGTTGCCCCTCTTCCAGGCCAGCTCTCTGCTGTGGCCAGGGAGTGCAGTGGAGGATGGCCTAAGTGCTTGGGCCCTGCACCCCATGGGAGACCAGGATAAGTACCTGGCTCCTGCCATCAGATCAGCGCAGTGCACCAGCCGCGGCGGCCATTGGAGGGTGAACCAACGGCAAAGGAAGACCTTTCTGTCTCTCTCTCTCTCACTGTCCACTCTGCCTGTCCCAAAACAAAAGACAATATAGTATATGACAAAGGGGTCAGCGCTGTGGCGTAGTAGGTTAAGCCTCTGCCGGTGGCACCAGCATCCCATATGGGTGCCGGTTCATGACCCGGCTGCTCTTCTTCCCATCCAGCTCTCTGGTAATGGCCTTGGAAAGCAGTGGAAGATGGCCCAAATGCTTGAGACCCCACACCCACATGGCAGATCTGGAAGAAGTTTCTGGCTCCTGGCTCGGATAGGCCCAGCTCCTGCCATTGTGGCTATTTAGGGAGTAAACCAGCAGACAGAAGACCTCTCTCTTTACTTCTCAAATAATAAATAAATATTTAAAATATATATATGGGGGTCAGTGTTGCGGTGCAGTGGGTTAATGCCCTGGCCTGAAGTGTCGGCATCCCATATGGGAGCCAGTTCGAGACCTGCCTGCTCTACTTCCAATCCAGTTCTCTGGTATGGCCTGGGAAAGCAGTAAAAAAATGGCATAATGAGTATATGGGCGATGGTTAGAGTCCTGGCTGCTCCTCTTCTGATCCAGCTCTCTGCTATGGCCTGGGAAAGCAGTAGAAGATGGCCCAAGTCCTTGGGCCCCTGCACCCGCTTGGAGACCTGGAGGAAGCTCCTGGCTCCTAGCTTCGAATTGGCACAGCTCCGGCTGTTGCGGCCAATTGGGGAGTGAACCATTGGATGGAAGACCTTTGTCTCTGTCTGTCTCTCTCTCTGTGTAACTCTGTCTTTCAAATAAATAAATGAATCTTTAATATATATATATATATATATGACAGAAGTATCTAGATCATGGTTGAATATATAAAACACAATTATCCTAATGTTTTAATAATTTGGAACTCATTTTTGGAGTTTACATTCTAACCGTTCTAGTTGACTTAAGGGACATAAAAAGAAGTGTCCAGTATTACCACATGTGAGAATGGTTTTCAGTTTTCCTCTCACTCTGTGGTCCTTAAAGCTGACCTGAATCCTTCCCAGGGGTAGAGCCTCCTCTCAGGGAGCAGGGACTTTCGGTCACCCAGAGGCCAGTGTTCTCGCTTACCACCACTCAACTTTCATTTCTGCCTTTTGCAATCACAGAAATCCCAAGAGAAGATCCTGCTTTCCTTGTCTGCTCGGCCATGTCCACACAACTCCTGAATGTGCACGGTTCTCATCTGGTTTGCTGCGTTTTTGTAGCTTAGGTTAGAAAAAAACTGGTAGAAGTTCAAGTTCTTACTCAAAATCTCGTTTTTTGGATTATCTATAGATTATAATTATCACCCTCATTGAATGGAAAATATTTTGTGTCTGCACATTTATATTGGATTTAAAGAATACTGACTTATAATTTTTGATGTAGTATATCATATGCCTAAGTCCTTGAACATTTAAGGAGGCCAAGATAAAAGAGGAGGCAACAGACCAATTCAGGACTCACAAATGCAAAACCAGTGCTACAAAAGCCCTCCTTCAAAGAGTGCAGAATCAAAGAATGGCAGCAGAGTACCTGTACATCCTGCTCCATCGGCCTGAGCTTCAGGCCCCAGGGTTTCTGACCCTTCCTTTCCTGCTGAAACCAAAGAACAAGAGATTAAAATAGATCCTTGTGCCACAAACATTTCAACTTCTAGAAATCTGAAAAGGAAACTTCCAGTACACATCTAGTCAATCTGGACTTGTTTCCTTTTATAAACCTGATAATGTGGCTACCTGCAGACGATTTTATCAAGTTCACAAAGGTATTTTAGAGAGCAAAATCAGTGCAGATTTAGATATAATTCTGGAATTATTCATATATTTGAAGGACAGGCTGAGTAACTGGTATCCAAAATGCTTGGCACCAAGAATGCTTTTGTTTTGGTGTTTTCAGACTTTGGAATATTTGCATGTATGGAATAAGCTACTGTGGGATGGGCCCTAATTCTAAACATGAAATTCATTTATGCTTCACACACATGCTGCATGCATAGCCCCTAGTAACCATAAAATACTCTTAGTGTGCCTCCATTAAAATATTTAGGGGGCTGGCACCGTGGTGCAGCAGGTTAATCCTCTGCTTGCGGCGTCAGCATCCCATGTGGGCACCATTTCTAGTCCTGGTCGCTCCTCTTCTACTCCAGCTCTCTGCTGTGGCCTCGGATAGCAATGGAGGATGGCCTGAGTGCTCGGGCCCCTGCACCTGCATGGGAGACCTGGATGAAGCTCCTGGCTTTGGATCAGCGCAGTTCCGACCGTTGCGGCCATTTGAGGAGTAAACCAACAGAAGGAAGACCTTTCTCTCTCTCTCTTTCACTGTCTGTAACTCTACCTGTCAAACAAATACATAACATCTTAAAAAAAAATATTTAGAGAGCTTACAATGCGTCCTGTGATGCCAGCACCCCTTGTGAGCACTGATTTGAGTCCCAGCTGCTCTGCGTCCAATCCACTTCTGTGCTAATGGCCTGGGAAAGCAGCACAAGATGGTCCAAGTACTCAGACCCCTGCCACCCATGTGGGAAACCCAGGTAGAGTTCCAGGCTCCTGACCCCAGCCTGGCCAAGCCTTGGCTGTTGAGGTCATTTGGGGAGTGACCCAGCGGATATAAGTGCACTCACTTGCACTCTTTTAACTCTGCCTTTCAAATAAATAAATAAATTTAAAAAAATAAAAATTTTGTTTTTACTCTATTTGAAAGGCAGAGAGACACAGAAAGAGACAGAGACAGACAGACAGCAATCTCTCATCTGCGGGTTTACTCCTCAAATGGCCACGATACCTGGGGCTGGGCCAACTTGAAGCCAGGAGCAAGGATCTCAGTCTGGGTTTCCCGTGTGGGTGGCAGGGACCCCTGTGTCTGCTACCTCCCAGGTGCACATCAGCAGGTAGCTAGAATTCAAAGTGGAGTTGGGACTCAAACCCAGGCGTCTGGATATGGGATGCAAGCATCCCAAGCTGCACCTGCATTTTGACTTTGATGTGTCACATGAGGTCAAGTGTGGAATTCTCCATGGCGTCAAGCGGGCATTCAAGAAGCTTCACATTTTGGAACATTTTGTAATTCAGATTTTCAAAATAGGGATGCTCAATGTGTTTAAGCAAACTAGGATTTTAGCAGTACTATAGAACAGCTCTTTCTACAGGCGCTAGGATTTTCCTCCATTTCTTCTGCAAAGAATAAATTTCTATGTTCTAGGTACTGCACTAAATGTTTATAAACAAATCATTTAACTTATAGAACAGTTTATGAGTTATACAAGAAAGAAAAAACTTCAGGTGTGGAGAAGTTAAGTAACTTGCCCATCGACTCACAGCTATTTGGTAGTAAAAGCAGAAACTGAACACGGGTCCGACTGCCTACAGAGCTCAGTTTTATACCCTGGTAGTCTCACTAGCGTACCAGGAAATCAGAACGAGGCTGAAGAGGATGTCACTGTGCCCAGAATAAACACCTTAGAACACCAGATTTTCTCTTTTCTCTATTAAGTATTCTAACTCCTGACAAATAGTAACACATAATAACAGGGATACTAATAAATATCTTAACTTTATTTTTAAAAAGTAAGCTCATCTTTCTTTTTAAAGAAATAATTATTTCATTAATTTGAGAGGCAGAGACAGAGTGAAAGCTTCTATTTGCTGGTTCACTGCCGAGATGTCTGTATCAGCCAGACCTAAGCCTTAGACAGCAAGCCGGGCACTGAAACTCCAAGCCTGCCAAGTCTGCCATATGGGAGCAGGGATCCAAGCACGCAGACCATCCCATGGTGCGCATCAACAGGAATCTGGAATTGGGAGTAGGGTCGGGACTCAACCCAGGCACTCTGATTTGGGGTGCTGGTGTCCTAAGCCATGGCTTAACTGCTGTGTCAAACGCTTGCCCCACCATGAAACATTTTCAGATGACTGGGATCCTCCCTTGCCACCTCTGTGTTTACAGTGGGTTCATTAACCTCTACGGAACAGTTCTAGAGTGAATATTTTGTATTACAATTAAATGCATACTTTTTGGCAAGCAGAAAATATGCTTCAATATTCAGGTAAAATTTATTTATTATAATAATTTATTAAAAACATGTATATATCAAAGGCATGAAGGAGTTAAAAACTGCTCTTTTTTAACTACAGCAGACTATCTGTCAGAATTATGATCAGAATACTTACAAAGTCATACTAAACAAAATGTAGCTACCTGCACCTCAATCAATCCCATTGAAGATGTCAGTCAAAAACTCTGACTTTGATTTCAATGAAGTCGGGGCACTCATCAAGTACAGCCTCACACTGCATTACCGCATGTACCTCTCCAAGTGCTCTGGATTGCTGGGTGAATGGATTCATCAGATTTCCTTTGCTCATTAATTCTTATACTAATACTTAAAGATGATCACTATACTAAAACAGTTCCAATATGCACACAGATTGTTAGATTAACATAAAAAACACTTTGCAAAGTCAAAGTTGACGAGAGTAATTTCTGCTGAAGAATTCTCATTTTATACTTCCCATCAGCAAACTGACAATATAAAAATCCTGGCACTGTGTTACAATACTGTAGGACGTGCCTCAGCGTTTGCTGTGTGTCTGCAAACCTCTAACATTCCCCCCTTCCCCACTCTAAAACATCCACTTAAACTGAACTAATAAACAGTGGGCCTGCTGGGTAATCAGGGATAGTAACAATTACCTAATACTGTATGTCTAGCTCTTTGTTTCTCCTCAAATGAAAATCAAAACAGGGAGTTACCACTTGCTAGATGGAACACGACACGGACACTACAGCCACACTCATAATGACACTCTGAACACAGACTTTCCCATTTATAATGATGACAGTTAAACAGAACTGTACTCCGATTACATGACTGCCTCATTTCTTCATCCCTCCACGCTCTGTTGGGATCTCAGCTTGGCTCTCTAGGTGAGCATGCAACAGCCTTCAGGTAGGGGCCCACACTCGGTTCCCAACATTTTAAAGCTAGGCGTTTCTACAGTTTCTCCCATTATTGGTGGTGAAGCTGAACACAGTTACTAAAGCAGTGTAGCCCAGCGAGAAGAGCGAATGTGCCCCGCTGCCCTGTACCAGGAATATACTTCTTCACTGCCCAGAGTCCCCAGGAACTGGCTCCTTCCTGCTCAGCACGCTGGTGGGGTGTTAATATTTTTCAAGCAGCTTCTCCTTCATGCGTTCTGATCCTACTTCTAGTTCAGGAAATCAACAGGATGTAAATGAGTAAAAACTACTGGACCTAATATTCTTTTCCCCATAAGACTTAATAATAACAACATGTGATGATTACTGGTGACCTAAATGCAAATGAAGAGGGAACATAAGAATATTCCCAAGGCTTTTGCCAAATTTCAAAGCAAATATATAAATGACAAAACTCCTGAGTAATAAAACACTGTTTTTTTTTTTCTCAAATGATGGTAAAATACAGCCTAGAAAATAAGTCAGGGAATAAGGCTCAACAATAAAAAGGGGGAAGAAAACCTACTGGTATGTGTAACAATCTAGCGAATCCATAAGAAATTATGGACGTTACATACTGCCTGACTTCATTCATGTAACATTCTTGAGAACTCACAAGGTTGAAAACAGAGAACAGCCATGAGAGACCGGGCAGACAGGCAGGAGAAAAGTGGGTGAAGAAGGAACCCAGGGAACTGTGCAGAGATAGAACTGTTGTGTATCCTGACAACTACATGCGAGTCCATGCTCTGCTGCTGTCCATTGTGGTTTTGCAAGACGTTACCCCTGGGGGACACAGGATCTCTGTATGATTTGTGAATCTGTAACTATTTGTGAATTACTTGATAACCTACAACTATTTTCACGTGAACAACTTAATTTTAAAAATAGGTCAAAGGCAAGTATCACAAATTGTTCATTTTAGCCGTAAGATGGAATTCCAAGTTGAAAAAAGATGGCAAATGCAATTCATTTTGATTAAAAATCTAGGAGACTTATTATCAGTTGCAGGATAAAACAGTTTAAAATATAAGACTAATTGTTTAGCACATGTGCTAAGTTAAGCTATAAGACTTGCATTTTTTTTTTTTGTTAGAGTTGAGGTTGGAGGGGGGAGAGAGAGAAAAACACAGATTTTCCATCTGCTGGTTCACTTCCCAAATGGCTGCAATGGCAGGGGCTGGGCAAGGATGAAGCCAGAAGCCAGGAGCTTCATCCAGGTCTCACACATGGGTGCAGGGTCCCAACGACTTGGGGCATCTTCTGCTGCTTTTCCCAGGTCATTAAGCAGTATCCAGGACTCGAAGTTGCACCCATATGGGATGTCGGTGTTACAAGTAGCAGCTTAACTGGTTACGGCCACATCTCTGGCCCCACATCTTTTACATTTGTATCAATCAGTGTATTTCTAGTCACTTCAAATATGTTCATGGGACTATTTTATAGCAGTCTCTAATAAGACATAGTAAGGAGCACAATGAATCAGATTGTCCATTCCTGGTTATTAGCCTTCTCTAAATGCATGTTCTGTTATTCCTACTCTGCTATCCTTGCTAAACGAAAATTATCCAAAAAAAATTCCAAAAAGGAAAGTTACCTAAAAACCAAACGTGAACACA